CTGCAGCTTATCTATGTCCCTCTGTAACCTGCAACATCCTTCCGCACAATCCACAACTCCACCGACTTTAGTGTCATCGTCAGCTTTTATAGATGCACCATAGAAAGCATTCTATCCGGGTGTGTAATGGCCTGGTATGGCAACTGCTCTGCCCAGGACTGTAAGAAACTACAGAAAGTTGTGTGCACAGCCCAGACCATAACACAAGGTAACCTCCCATCCATTTACACTTCTTGTTGCTGCAGAAAGCAGGCAGGAGGGACTAGTTTAGTTTGGAATTATGTTCAGCATGGACTGGTTGACCCAAAGAGTCTGTTTCCATGCTGTGTGACTGGATGGCTAGAACATCAAAGGCACCTCCCACCCTGCTAATGCTCTCTTCCATTAGGCACAAAATACAGAAACTTGAACACGCATCAACAGGTTCAAGATCAGCTTCTTCCTTGCTGTTATTAGACTGCTGAATGGACCTCTCGAATTTCAAACCCAATGTTGATCTTGCTTTATACACTTCCAGTGCAGCAGTAACCTTGCATGTCTCACTCTGTCTAAGCGCCCTATGATCTGTATGCCCTTGTTTGCTATGATCTACCTGTACTGGTCTCAAAACAAAACTTTTTACTGCATGTAGGTAAACTTGACTATTAGTAAATCAAATCAGCACACTTCTGCCAACAAAAAAAACTATTTGTTCGCCAAAAAGCTGTGCAATCTATCCCTTAGCCAATCAAATACCCAATTTACCACCACCTCCTTTATCATTAACTTCTATTATCCAAAGAGGACACTTTATCAAATGCCTTTCTCGAGAACTGTCGATGACTATAAAAAGTGAAGAAGCACACTTAAGAGGGACGTCAGAAGAGCAAAAAGAGGATGTGAGATGGATGTGGCAGATAAAGTTAAAGATAATCCCAAGAGGTTCTATAGTTATATGAAGAGTAAAAGAGTGGCTAGGGAGAGAATCGGTCCCCTTAAAAATCAGCATGGCCATCTGTGTGTGGAGCCACAGAAGATGGGGGAGATTTTTAATGAATATTTCTCCTCAGTGTTTACTGAGAAGACAATTATGGATGCTAAGGAAATAAAGGAGGATGATTTGGACTGTATACACATTACCAGAGAGGAGGTATTTGCAACCTTAAAGTGCATTAAGGTGGATAAATCCCCTGGGCCTGATTAGATCCATCCTTGAACATTGTGGGAGGCTAGAGAAGAAATTCCAGAGGCCCTTGCAGAGATTTTTGCTTCTTCTTTAGCCACTGGTAAAGTTCCAGAAGACTGGAGGGTAGCTAATGTTGTTCCGTTTTTTACGAAAGGTAGCAAAGATAAGCCAGGGAACTACAGGCCAGTGAGCTTGATATCAGTGGTAGGCAACTTATTGGAGAAGATACTGAGGGACAGGATCAACTAACATTTGGATAGTCAAGGTCTGATTACAGATAGCATGAATTTGTGCACGGGAAGTCATGTCTGACAAATCTTTTGGGGTTTTTCGAAGAGGTAACCAAGTGTAGAACAGTGGATGTTGTCTATGGACTTTAGTAAGGCCTTTGATAAGGTCCCACATAGCAGGCTAGTCATGAAGGTTAAGTTGCATGGGATCCAAGGACAGCTAGCTGATTGGATTCAAAACTGGCTGGATGGTAGGAAGCAGAGGGTGATGGTTGAAGGTTGTTTCTCGAACTGGAGGCCTGTGACTAGTGGTGTGCCACAGGGGTCGGTGCTGGGACCTTTGTTATTTGTAATTTACATAAATAATCTGAATGTGAATGTCCAAGGCATGATTAGTAAGTTTGCAGATGATACAAAATTAGGAGGCATCATTGATAGCGAGGAAGGTTATCAAAAATTACAGAGGAATCTTGATCAGTTGGGGAAGCGGGCTGAGGATTGGCAAATGCGATTCAATACAGATAAGTGTGAGGTGCTGCACTTTGGAAAGTCAAACCAAGGTAGGACTTATACAGTAAATGGTAAGGTCCTGAGGAAAAGAGGAACCTAGGAGTACAAGTACATAGTTCTTTGAAAGTGGCATCACAGGTAGACAGGGTGGTGAAGAAGGCATTTAGCATACTGGCCTTTATCGGTTGAGGCATTGAGTATAGGAGTTGGGACGTTATGTTACAGTTGTACAAGTCATTGGTGAGGCCACACTTGGAGATTTGTGTACAGTTTTGGTCACCCTGTTATAGGAAAGACATAGTTAAACCTGGAAGTGTGCAAAGAAGATTTATGAGGATATTGCCAGGACTAGTAGGCCTGAGTTACAGTGGAGAGGTTGGCCAGGATAGGACTTTATTCCTTGAAAGGTAAGAGATTGAGGGTGACCTTACTGAGGTGTATAAAATCATGACCGACTTAGATAGGATAAAGCATATTGTCTTTTACCTAGGGATGGGGAATTGAAAACTAGAGGCCATAATTTTAAGGTGAGAGGGGAAAGATTTAAGAAGGACCTGAGGGGCAACGTCTTCACGCAGAAAGTAGTGCTTATATGGAATAGGCTGCCAAAGAAAGTACTTGAGGCAGGTCCAACAGCAACATTTTAACAAAAAATTTGAATAGGTACATGGATGGGAAGGGTTTAGAGGGATATGGAGCAAATGCGGGCAACTGGAACTAGCTGAGTGGGCACCATGGTTAGCATGGACCAGTTTGGGCCGAAGGGCCTGTTTCCATGCTGTATTATGCTACTGTATACTTCACATACACAACACATACTGCATTACCAACATAAATCCTATTTCAGCAATTGTGATTCTTGGAGTCCTAGGTATTTGTAGCATAGAAGGAAGCCATTATGCCCATTGTGTCCCTGTCAGTCATCAAAGATCTGATTTACACCAAACTCATTTTTAGATCCCTGGAAGCTTTGGCAAAACAAATGAATATCTAAATACTGCTTCAATGTTAGGAGAATTTCTGACCCAACCACCCTTTCAGGCAGTAAGTTCCAGATTCCCACCATCCTCTGGGTGAAAAAAAAACTTGCTCCTCAACTCTCCGCCTTCTACCTCATACCTTAAATCTATGTCCTCTGGTTATTGATCTCTCTACAAATGGGCAAACTGCCTTCCTGTCCTGCCTATTTCTGCTCCTAATAATCTTACACACCACTATCAAGTCCCCAATCAATTTTGCCTGCTCCAAGGAAGACTACCCCAGCCTATCCACAGCATTTACGGGAGGTGATGACCTAGTGGTATTCTGCCATGGTAGATGGTGGTATTTGAATTCAATAAAAATCTGGTCTGATGACCATGAATGGATTGTCAGAAAAACCTATCTAGTTCTTTAATGTCCTAGCCAGCGACTCCCATATCCCATGACTGAATTAAAACAACTTCTCCCTTCTGTCCATATAGCCTCTTTTGATGAAGAAGGGTCTAGGCCCAAAATGTCAGCTTTCCTGCTCCTCTGATGCTGCTTGGCCTGCTGTGTTCATCCAGCTCTATACCTTGTTATCGTAGCCTGTTTTGATGATCCTTCCAAGATAGATCATCCCTCCTCACTGCGAGACTTGATTCTTTGATCAATATTGTGACACCGCTTTCCTCTTCTATTCCCTTTCTGTCTCATCTGAATGCCCTATAACCAGGAATGTTGAGCTAGCAATTATGCCCATCTTTCTGCCAAGTCTCAGTTATAACCATGATATCATACATATCACATGCCTATTTGTGCCGTCAGCTCATCTGTCTTACTCCAGCTTCTTGCATTAAAATGTATTCCAAATAACCTTGCTAAACTCCCTTTTTTTTCTTTCCTAGCCTGCATTTCATCTCCCTTTGAGGCTCACTTAATTGCTTTTTAACTTCTAATTCCATCTCAGCCTCTCTCCCATCTGAAATACTGGTCAGAATCCCATCCCTCTGAAAATCTTGTTTAAATTTCCCCAGCAACATTCACAAATCTCTCTGCAAGGATGTTGATCTCCTTTCAGGTCAGAATCAATGTATCCAACTCTTATTTTAATCACATTAACTTCTATCTTTTAGTTGTTAGCCATTTCTCTAACCTAAAACAATACACTTACGGTTTCCTTTGGGTTTTGTAATGATTTCCAAAATCTTCTATTTTCTGTTAATGCTCTCAGCCCCCTAACCCCATATCTAAATCAATGACAAACATAGGCAGCAATATTTTGGTAAGTGTTACTAATTCAGGTCTGTGTGTTTGTGTTTATGATTAATACCGACTTATGTATGCAGGTTGCAGCAGCAGTGATTGTGACATGGCACACCGTTCTCAGTCTTCGACCTTGGGTGATGTAGATAATGATCCCAATAATGTCCCACCTCACTACAAGGAGTATTACCGCATTGCCATTGATATACTCGCTGAGGAGGGAATTGATGCTTACTACCGCTTCCTGGCAGAAGAGAAAGAGGTGGATTTTCTCAGCAGCACTGAGATTGAGCACATTAATAAGCACCTGAAGAAACCTGTGGTATTTTTCGATGAGCTTCAGTTTGTTGTAGGTGACTGTGATGAATCAGACTCATCGGGGACCTATTGGCCAGTTCACACTGACATTGCTGCGCCTGCACTAGATCTAGGCTGGCCGAATATTCACATGTGCAGGGGACCCTCTGATGTTACTATCTTTGTGCATCCACCAGCGCCTGACACACTCAGCATCAAGGAGGAAGTCAGGAGACTCATCAGGTCAGCTACCCAGGTAAGGAGATTCATGATCTGAACAACTAGCTGTCCCTTATATCATTTTGTATCCATTTTGTCATTTTTCCTTTAGTCTAATTGGCTATGATTTTGCAAATAAGTCTATCATATAATTTAGTAAATCCTTTTTCAAGTTCCTTATATAAATGAACTGGACTACTCTCATGAACCCTCTGTATAACTTCATCACAGCATTTATGTTAGTCAGCATTATGCCCAGACCTCAGGTGAAATTCCCCAATTCATTACAGCTCCAGACTAGATATCCCAAATAGTTAAGCCACTGGGTGAGGACAGATGAACTGGCTCCCTTTCTTCATTCATACAATCCCTTGGTTGGTTGCAACAAGGTTAATTTAAAAATGGATCTCTACTGTTGGCAAAGCATTGACACAGGGATTGATAAAAAGAGAGAAAATAAGTGTACAGGAGTAAGCTTATGGGGAACATGCAAACTCATTGTAAAACCTTCTATCGATATGCAAAGAGAAAAGATTAGTTAAGACAAAACTAGGAATGTGGTATGAGTACAGTAAGAAGCAGGGCAAGTTCTGCTGAAGAGTCACTGGCCTCGAAATGTTAAGTTTTTTTCTCCCACAGATGCAGATGACACAAAGCTGAATAGAAGTCATGGCTTATCTGATGATCCTCAACTCCATTTCCCTGCCTTGCCTTATCCCCATAACCCTTGATTCCATAACTAATTTAAAAATCTGTATCTCAGCCTTGAATATAATTAATTACCTTGCCTCGACAACCCTCTGTGATAAAGAATTCCGCAGATTCATTACCCTCTAAGAGAAGAAATTCCTCCTCATCTCTATCTTAAATGTGGGACCACTTATTCTGAGATTATACCCTTTGGTCCTGGACTCTCCCATAACCTTTCTACATCTACTTTGTCAAGTCCACAAGAATCTTGTATGTTTCAGTAACATTCCTCATTCTTCTAAGGTAGACAAACAGGAGGCTGGAAGAACACAGCAAGCCAGGCAGCATCTGGAGGAAAGGAGAAGTCAATGTTTTGGGTATTACCCTTCTTCAGGACTGGATGTGAAGATGGGGGTTGGTGGAGGGTATCGGAATAGTGGTGATAGCAGTAGTAGTAGGAGGAGGTACAACCTGGTTGGTCCACTATTCCCCTACCCTCCCCACACCTGAACCTCCCCCAAAACCCCACATCCAGTTCTGAATAAGGGTAATACGCAAAACGTTGACTTCTCCTTTCCTGCAGATGCTGCCTGGCTTGCTGTGTTCTTCCAGCCTCTCATTTGTCTACCCTGGATTCCAGCATCTGCAGTTTTTTTTTGTCTCACGCCTTATTCTTCTATTCTTTTTAAATGAGTACAGGCCGTACTCAGTCATAGAGTATCAGAGTTATACTCTATGTACTCAAACTCTCTTCATAAGGAAACCCCTCTACATCAGGGATCAACTTAGTGAAAAGTCTGTGGACTGTCTCCAATGCCAGTATATTTTTCCTTAGATAACGTTCCTGAAATGATTCACAGTATTCAGCTATGGTGTGATTAGTGCCTTGTATACTTTTATGCCCCATTCCCTTTGAAATAAAGGCCAATATTCCACTTTCTTTCCCTATTACCCGCTGAACTTTGATGTTAGCTTTTTGTAATTCATACACTAGATACTCCAAATTCCTCTGTATTGTAACTCCCTGCACTCCTTCTCTATGTACATAATAATCAGCTCCTCGATTCTTCCTGCCAAAACATCACATTTTCCCACAATTATTTTCCATCTGCCAAATATTTGCCCACTCAGCCTGTCTATATCGCTCGATTAATTCTTTGTGTCACCCTCACCATTTGCCTTCACACCAATTTTTGTTGTAGAGTCATACAGCACGGAAAAAGACTCTTCAGTCCAACTCGGCCATGCTGACTGACATCCCAATCTAACCCAGTCCCATTTGCCAGCATTTGGTCCATTCCTCTAAACCCTTCCTATTCATGTACCCATCCAGATACCTTTCAAATGTTGTAACGGTACCTGCCTCTACCACTTCCTCTAGCAGCTCGTTCCATACATGTACGACCCTCTGCATGAAAATGTTACCTGTCAGGTCATTTTTAAATCTTTCCCCCTCTTACTTTAAAAATATGCTCTCTTTTTCCTAGGGTGAGAAAACTAGACTTTGGGTATTCACCCTATCCACGCCCTTCATGATTGTATAAACCTCTAAAAGGTCACCCCTCAGCCTCAATGCTCTAGGGAAAAAGCCCCAACCTATTCAGCTTCTCCCTATAGCTCAAACTCTTTTCTGCACCCTCTCAAGTTTAACAACATTTTTCCAATAGAAGGTCGACCAGAATTGTATCCAGTATTCCAAAAGTAGTCTTGCCAATATCCTGTACAGCCACAACATGACATTGCACCTCCTATAGTCAATGTACTATCATCCGCAAACTAGGCAATAGTTCATTCACTTTGGTCATCCATGTCATTAACATGTATTGTAAGTAATTGTGGCCACAGCACTAATTCCTGTGGCGCTCCATTAGTTACAGGTTGCCATCCTGAAAATGTCCTTTTATTCCTGACTTTCTGTCTTCTATTAGTTACCTACCCTCTCTCCGTGCTAATATTGTACGTCCAACACCATAGGCTGTAATTAAGTAGCTTTATGTATCAAATGCCTTTTGGAAATGCAAAAATGTAAGACCTACCCATTCTTCTTTATTTATCCTGCTTGTTACCTCCTTGAAGAACTGTAGTAAATTTGTTACATATGATTTAGATTATGTATTTCTAAATGCACTGCTTATGACATCCTTTCATAGTAGATTCTAACAACTGAGGCTTAACCTGTTTTGTTTTTGTCCCCCTCCCTTTTTAAATAAAGGTGTTACACTGGACGTTTTCCAATCCTCTGGAATCTTCCGGATTCTAAGGATTCCTGGAAGATTACTACCAGTGCATCCATTATCTCTGCAGCCACACTCCCTTTAAAATCCTAAGAAAAAATCTATCAGGCCCTATTAATCAGGGAACCCATTGATCTTTAGACCCATTTGTTTCTCAATTGCTTTTTCTCTAATGATAGTTATTGTGTTTATTTCCTATACCACTTTAGCCACTTGTTTATTAGCATTTAAAAACATTAAATAGTATCCTCTACAGCGAAGACTCCTCTGCATTTTCTTGTTCCCCAGTATCATTTTCCCAGCCTCATTCTCCAAGGGGATTATGTTTACTTTGGCTTCTCTCTTCCTTTTGTTATGTATGTAAAGAAGCTTTTGCTGTCTGTTTTTATGTTACTTGCTAGTTTGACCTCAGTTTATTTTCTCCCTCTTTATTATTTTTGGTCATCATTTGTTGGCTGTCAAATTTTTTCCAATCCTTCGGCTTAACATTAATCTTTGCCACATTGTACGTTCTTTTTCTTACAGTTTAAATCTATCCCTGGCTTCCCTGGTTAACCATGATCAGATTATCCCTTTCTTAGAAACCTCCTTGCTCATTAGGATATATCTTTAACAATTAGCTTAGGCGAATGAGTGGCTGCTAACAGGAACTAATGGTGGCTAACAATGGGTGGTCTGTAATAGCAGACCATATGATAACAAGGTCTGGTGTGTAGGGGTAAGGACATGGGAAAAGGTGCCTCAAACTCTAAAATTGTTGAACTCAATATTGAGTCCAGAAGGCTGTCAAGATCCCAAGTGGAAAATGAGGTGCTATTCTTCCAGCTCGTACTGATGCCAACTTCAATAAGGAGATCGCCGAAATGTCCACCTTCTTTCTCGATCAACACCGTCGTTGATACAGCCACCGGCCAGGTCCAACCCATCTCCCACATATCAGCCCTCACCTTTCACTTCCCTCCCATAACTGCGATAGGATCCCCTCTTTCGTCACCTACCATACCACCGGCATCCACATCCAGAGGATCATTAGCCACCATTTCTGCCACCTCCAGCAGGATGCTAGCACCAGGCATTATTGCCCTTTAGGGAAGCAAACTGCCATCCTTACCTGGTCTGGCCTACATGTGACTGCAGACCCACAGCAATGTGGTTGGCTCATAATTGCCCTCTGAGCGATTAGAGATGGACAATAAATGCTGGCCTAGCCAGCGATGACCTCATCCCATGAACAAATAAAGGATATAAAACCCACATTCCTCTCTCCTCCCTTGTCAGCCTTTTAGGAAGGACCATTCCCTCTGGAACACCCTGGTCCATTCCACATTGGTGATCATCACTCCTAGGAACTTGATGCTCTCGACAACCTCCACCTCAACTCCATTGATGAAGTGGGGGGCATGTCCTCCTCCTTGCTTTCTGAAGTCGATCAGCTTTTTAGCTTTGCTGACATTGAGGGAGAGATTGTTATCATTACACAATGCCATCGAGCACTCTCTTTCCTGTATTCTGTCTTGTCATTCTTTGATATCTGGCCTCCCACGGTGGTGTCATCAGCGAACTTTCAAAAGGACAGACAGGACAGCGTGGCGCAGTAGCTTTATTAGTATGATTTGGAGCAAGTACAAAATCAAGAAATGATCTTGGATCAAGTGGTATGGAATCCATATGGGCGAAAGTAAGAAATAACAAGGGGAGTAATCTATAGGACCCCTAACATGTCTGTTCCGTAACAGAGAGAAACACACGCAATGTACCTCAACAATTACCGCCCGGTGGCTCTGACCTCTGTAATTATGAAGTGATTCGAAAGGTTAGACACAGCTGATATCAGTTCTAGCCTCCGTAGCCCTACATTCATCACTGGGACATCTGGATAATAAGGATGCTTATGTCAGGCTCCTACTTATTGGCCCCAGGTCCGCCTTCAACACTATAATTCCAACAAAACTATCTCAAAACTCTGAGACCATGGCCTTGGCTCTGCCTTCTTCAACTGGATCCTTGACTTCCTAAGCCACAGACCGCAATCCGTAAAGATAGGCTACAGCACCTGCTTCATGACAATCCTGAACACCAACACCCTGCAAAGAAGCATACTCAGCCCCTACTGTTCTCTCATAACTGTGGGGCCAAATTACAGCCTGACATAGGTATCCTTATTACCCAGATGTTCCAGGGATGAGTGTAGGACTATGGTGATGGCACTTGCCATGGACCTTTTGCGCCAGTAGGAAAATTGCAAGGGTTTGAGGCAGGCTGGCAGACTAGAGTTGATATGAGCCATGAGTAACCTTCGAATCACTTCATAATTATAGAGGTCAGAGCCACCGGGTGGTAGTTGTTGAGGCATGTTGCGTCCGTTTACCTCTGTTACAGAAGGGGTCCAAGATTCTACTCTCACCAGTGTCGTCTTCCCCTTGTTATTTCTTTCTTTCGCCCATGTGGATTCTGTACCACCTGATCCAAGATCACTTCTTGATTTTGTAGTTGCTCCAATTCATATAAAGCTACTGAACCACACTTTCCTATATGTCCTTTTGAAAACTTTCATACCTTCTGAATATTTAGTTCCCAACTTTGATCTCCTTGTAACCATATCTCTATAAAGGCGATAAGATTATATCCATTAACTTCTATTTGTACCACAAATTTGCAAAGATGCTTTATTCAAGGCCGAGATAGCTTGGTTTTTTGACCAGTAAGGGAAAGAAACATTATTGGACAAGAGCAGGAGTGTGGCATTGAGGATTATCGGATCAGCTATGATTTCATGAAGTAGCAGAGAAGACTTGATGGGCCAAATGGACTACTTCTCCAGACTTTTATGAAGTGAATTCTCTGCTAATTACCCTTAAATTTTTCCACATCCTGCTGTTCAACTGACTGCCAGGATGTTGCTGTGGTTAATCCTATCTCCTTAATCAGATTCATAGAACTGTACAGCACAGAAACAGATCCTTCAGTCCAATTCATCCATGCCAACCAGATATCCGAAATTAATCTGGTCCCATTTGCCAGCATTTGGCCCATATCCCTCTAAACCCTTCCTATTCATATAGCCATTCAAATGCTTTTTAAATGTTCTAATTGTACCCACCTCTTCCACTTCCTCTGGCAGCTCATTCCTTACATGCACACCTTCTGTGTGGAAAAAGTTGCCTGTTAGGTCCCTTTTAAATCTTTCCTCCCTCACCTTAAACCTATGCCCTCTAGTTCTGGACTCCCCCACCCTGGGAAGAGACCTTGGCTACTCACCCTATCCATGCCCCTCATGATTTTATAAACCTCTATAAGGTTACTCTTCATCTTCCGACGCTCCAGGGAATATAACCCAGCCTATTCAGCCTCCCCCTATAGCTCAAAACCTCCAACTCTGGCAACATCCTCACAAATCTTTTCTGAACCCTTTCAAGTTTCTCCCCGTGGCATGGGGAGGCAATAGCCTAAGGGTATTGTCACTGGATTGTTAACCCAGAGACACAGATAATGCTTTCGGGACCCGGGTTCGAATCGTACCACGGCAGACGGTGGAATTTGAATTCAATAAATATCTGGAATTAAGAGTCTAATGGTGACTATGTATCCAGTGTTGATTGTCAGGAAAAAAACCCATCTGGCTCACTAATGTCCTTTAGGGAAGGAAACTTCCCTCCTTACCCGGTCTGAACTAAATGTGACTCCAGACCCACGGCAAAATGGTTGACTCTTAACTGCCCTCAGTTAGGGATGGGGAATAAATGCTGCCTGGCCAGCGATGCCCTCATCCCATGAATTAATAAAAGAAAAACGCTTTCACAAGATCCTTTCTGTAGAGTTGAACAGTGATATAGCATTTGCAAGCATTTCCATTTCACTGTCCCGATAGCAAATACCTCTAAATCATGGAACAGTTTTACACTGACTCTGTACGGTTAATTTCTTATTCATTCTGTTATACAATTTAACCCTTCACCATCCGGCACTGTGGTTTTGCCAACATGCTGCTGTGGAATGTTGAATTGATCTTATGTTTTGGGTTTGTGTTCGTCCCTCTGCAGGTTATTGCGATTGTAATGGATATTTTTACTGACATTGACCTGTTTGCTGAGGTATTGGAGGCTGCAAATCGTGGGGTTCCAGTGTACCTTCTATTGGATGAACTGTTGTCTCATCACTTTCTGGACATGGTCAAGAAATGTCAAGTGAATCTGAGCCACATACATGTAAGAACCTTTTCACCTCCATAATCCCAAGAGGTCCTATAGCTATATTAAGAGTGAAAGGGTGGCTAGGAAGAGAATAGGTCCCCTTAAAGCTCAGCATGGCCATCTATGTGTGAAGCCACAGGAGATGGGGGAGATTTTTAATGAATATTTCTCCTAAGTGTTTACTGAGGAGAGAATCATGGATGCTAGGGAAATAACGGAAACAAGTGAGGATGTTTTGGACCATGTACGTATTACCAGAGAGGAGGTGTTTGCAGCCTTAAAGCACATTAAAGCCCTGGGCCTGATCAGGTCCATCCTCAAACATTATGGGAGATTGGGGAAGAAATTCCAGAGGCCCTAGCAGAGATTTTTGCTTTATCTTTAGTCGCTGGTGAAGTTCCAGAAGATTGGAGGGTGGCTAACGTTGTTCCATTGTTTCTGAAAGGTAGCAAAGACAAGCCAGGGAACTACAGGCCAGTGAGCCTGACATTATTGGTTGGCAAGTGTTTGGAGAAGATACTGAGGGACAGGATCAACCAACGTTTGGATAGTCAGGGTCTGATCAGGGTTGTTATCATAGATTTGTCTGCAGGAAGTCATGTCTGACAAATCTGAGTTTTTCAAAGAGGTTACCAAGAGGATAGATGAGGGTAGGGCAGTGGATGTTGTCGACATGGACTTTAGGCAGTCCAGTTATGAAAGTTGGGTCACGTGGGATCCAGGGAGAGCTAGCTAATTGGATTCAAAATTGGTTCGATGATAGAAGGCAGAGGGTGATGGTTTGAGGTTGTTTTTCGGATTGGAGGCCAGTAACTAGTGGTGTGCCACAGGGGTTGGTGCTGGGATCTTTGTTATTTGTAATTTACATAAATGATCTAGATGTGAATGTACAAGGTACGATTAGTAAGTTTGCAGATGATGCAAAATTATCATTGAAAGCGAAGAAGGTTATTAAAGATTAAAGAGGGATCTTGATCATATGGTGAAAGGGGCTGAGGATTGACAAATGCAATTCAATACAGATAAGTGTGAGGTGTTGCACTTTGGAAAGTCAATCCATGGTAAGACTTATACAGTAAATGGTAAGGTCCTGAGGAGTGTTGTGGAACAGAGGGACCTAGGAGTACAAGTACATAGTTCCCTGAAAGCAGCGTCACAGGTGGTCAGGGTTTTGAAGAAGGCATTTAGCATGCTGGCCTTCATTGGTTGAGGCATTGAGTATGGGAGGTGGGACACTATATTACAGTTGTATAAGTTGTTGGTGAGGCTGCACTTGGAGTCTTATATACAGTTTTGGTCACCCTGTTATAGGAAAGACATAGTTAAACTGGAGAGTGCACAAAGAAGGTTTATGAGGATGTTGCTAGGACTAGTAGCCTGAGGTATAGGGACAAGTTGGTCAGAATAGGACTTTATTCCTTGGAACATAAGAGAGAGGGGTGACCTTATTGAGGTGTATAAAGTCATGAGGGGCATGGATAGGATGAATGCATATAGTCTTTTTCCCAGGTATGGTGAATTGAAAACTAGACGGCATAGGTTTAAGGTGAGAGGGGAAAGATTTAAGAAGAACCTGAGGGGCAATGTCTTCACACAGAGAGTGGTGCATATATGGAATGGGCTGCCAGAGAAAGTGATTGAGGCAGGTACAATAACAACATTTAAAAAACATTTGGATAAGTACATGGATCAGAAGGGTTTAGAGGGATATGGACCAAATGTGGGCAATTGGAACTAGCTCAGTGGGCAGCATGGACCAGTTTGGTTCGAAGGGCTTGTTTCCATGCTGTATTAATCTATGACTCTATCGGGTTGACCATGAAGGTCAGGAGGAGCTGTTTAAGTTTGAGCAATTGGATGATCACTAGTTTAGATATTGACACTTCATCCTTTGAATCAAACCTCAAGTAAATCTGTTATTGACATTTAAGTCCCCTAATTGCTAGCTGAATGTGAGGCTTTGTGTGAAGTCTTTCTGTTCCTGCAATGTCAGCGAATATTCTCGTGAAAACCCATACATCCTCTGCATTTGATGAATTTGCTAGGTCAATTATTGACACTTAACTCTTGAGCCGGCTGGCTGTGAAATCAGTTCTGTTTGTTCATCAGGTTTGGAGTCCAGGCTGAACTGCAGTGCAGGACTATCAGAGTGCTAGGTTGGAAGCGCTCGTCTCTGGATATTGAAAATTCCATTACACTGTTTTTGAAATGGCAGAGAGTGGACCCGATTTTTTTTTTTTTTTTTTTTTTTTTTTGGTATACCATCACTCCCTTGAACAAAACCATCAATATCAGATTAACAGGAATTGGCGATATTATTACTCTGTGCCTTCCTTAGGCACATTCCACTGTAGGACCACGTATAATTTGGCAAAAAAATGGGGGTATGTAAGAAGGATACTAAAATTGTCATCATAAGGGGATGGTGACTTTATTGGGGTTGTATGATAGGCCCCCAAAAAGTCAACGGAAATTAGAGGAACAATTATGCAGGCAAACTGGGGAGACTTGCAACAATATGGTTGTCATAGGACGGAATTTTCACTTTCTTAACATAAACTGGGACTGCCATTGTGCTAAGGACTTGGATGGGATGGAATTTGTTAAATGTGTTCAGGAAAGTTTCCTTAAGCAGTATATAAAGGGTCATACTCAGGAAGGGGCAAAACTCGACCTACTCTTGGGAAATAGAGCAGGACAGGTGACTGAGGTGACAGTGGGGGAGCACTTTGGGACCATGACCGTTGTTCTATTAATTTTAAAATAGTTATGGAGAAGGACAAAATTGGTCCACAGGTTCGAGTTCTAAATTGGGGCAAGGCAAATTTTGATGGAATTAGACAGGAGCTTGCAGGGGTTGATTGGAGCAGTTTGTTTGCAGGCAAAGAGACCTCTGGCAAATGGGAGGCCTTTAAAAATGTGGTAGCTAGAGTTCAAGGTCTGTGTGTCCCTGTGAGGGTGAAGGGCAAGGTTGGCAGGAATAGGGAACCCCAGATGAGAAGAGCTATTGAGGCGTTGACCAGAAAAGAGGAGGCATCTTGGCTCAGGAATAGGCAGCTGGGATCAAAGGAATCCCTGAAGGTATATAGAGGATACAGGAGTTTACTGAAGAAGGAAATCAGGAGGACGAAATGGGGGCACGAGATAGCTTTGGCTGAGAAGATTAGAGATTCTTTAAATATATTAATGAAAAAAGAATAACTAGAGAGAGAATAGGACCTCTCAAAGACCAATGTGGACATGTATGTGTGGAACCGCAAGAGATGGGTAAGGTCCTCCATGAATAATTCTCCTCTGTATTTACTGTGGAAAAAGACATGAAGATTTGGGAATCTGGGGAAGTTAGTGGCGATATCTTAGGAACAGCCCATATCATAAGGGAGGTGTTGCAACTATTAGACTGTATGAAGGTGGATAAATCTCCTGGTCCTGATCAGATATATCCAAGAACTCTGCAGAAGAAATATATAAATGATCTGGAGGAAGGTACAGATGGTCTGATTAGCAAGTTTGCAGATGACACTAAGATTGGTGGAGTAGCAGATAGTGAAGGGGACTGATGGAGAATGCAGCAGAATATAGAACATAGAACATTACAGCGCAGTACAGGCCCTTCGGCCCTCGATGTTGCACCGACCTGTGAAACCAATCTGAAGCCCATCTAACCTAAACTATTCCATTATCATCCATATGTTTATCCAATGACCATTTAAATGCCCTTAAAGTTGGCGAGTCTACTACTTTTGCAGGCAGGGCATTCCACGCCCTTACTACTCTCTGAGTAAAGAACCTACCTCTGACATCTGTCCTATATCTATCACCCCTCAATTTAAAGCTATGTCCCCTCATGCTAGCCATCACCATCCGAGGAAAAAGGCTCCCACTGTCCATCCTATCTAATCCTCTGATCACCTTGTATGTCTCTATTAAGTCACCTCTTAACCTTCTCTCTAACGAAAACAGCCTCAAGTCCCTCAGCCTTTCCTCGTAAGACCTTCCCTCCATACCAGGCAACATCCTGGTAAATCTCCTCTGCACCCTTTCCCATGCTTCCACATCCTTCCTATAATGCAGTGACCAGAACTGTACGCAATACTCCAAGTGCGGCCGCACCAGAGTTTTGTACAGCTTCAACATGACTTCATGGCTCCGAAACTCAATCCCTCTACCAATAAAACCTAACACACCGTACGCCTTCTTAACAACCCTATCAACCTGGGTGGCAACTTTCAGTGATCTATGCACATGGACACCAAGTTCTCTCTGCTCATCCACACTACCAAGAATCTTACCATTAGCCCAGTACTCTGTATTCCTGTTATTCCTTCCAAAGTGAATCACCTCACACTTTTCCGCATTAAACTCCATTTGCCACCTCTCAGCCCAGCTCTGCAGCTTATCTATGTCCCTCTGTAACCTGCAACATCCTTCCACACTATCCACAACACCACCGACTTTGGTGTCATCCGCAAATTTACTAACCCATCCTTCTACGCCCTCATCCAGGTCATTTATAAAAATGATAAACAGCAGTGGCCCCAAAACAGATCCTTGAGGTACACCACTAGTAACTGAACTCCAGGATGAACATTTCCCATCAACCACCACCCTCTATCTTCTTACAGCTAGCCAATTTCTGATCCAAACCGCTAAATCACCCTCAATCCCATGCCTCCGTATTTTCTGCAATATAGATAGATTGGAGAGTTGGGCAGAGAAATGGCAGATGGAGTTCAATACAGGCAAATGCGAGGTGATGCATTTTGGAAGATCCAATTCAAGAGCGAACTGTACGGTAAATGGAAAAGGCCTGGGGAAAATTGATGCACAGAGAGATCTGGGTGTTCAGGTCCATTGTACCCTGAAGGTGGCAACGCAGGTGGATAGAGTGGTCAAGAAGGCATACGGCATGCTTTCATTCATTTGGATGGGGTATTGAGTACAAGAGTTGGCAGGTCATGTTACAGTTGTATAGGACTTTGGTTCGACCACATTTGGAATACAGTTCTGGTCGCCACATTACCAAAAGGGTGTGGATACTTTGGAGAGGGTGCAGAGGAGGTTCACCAGGATGTTGCGTGGTATGGAGGGCGCTAGCTATGAAGAGAGGTTGAGTAGATTAGGATTATTTACATTAGAAAGACGGAGGTTGAGAGGGACCTGATTGAGGTCTACAAAATCATGAGAGGTATAGACAGGGTGGATAGCAAGAAGCTTTTTCCCAGAGTGGGGGACTCAATTACTAGGGGTCACAATTTCAAGGTGAGAGGGGAAAAGTTTAAGGGAGATATGCTTGGAAAGTTCTTTAC